CTTTCCCAGAAGCTAACTGAAGGGTCCATTTGTGCCTTACCTGTGATTAATTCTTTTCCGTTTGTATTTGCAGTGGAAGGACTTGAGCTCGGCACTAACAAAACCCATTTTGTTACGCAGTTTGCTGCCTCTAACTGTATCTCCAACCTCTGGGGCTTCCCTACCTTTGCAGCTGTTGACTAATATTAATTATGTGTATGCTGCTTAATCATCTAGGAGTGACCCTCTAAAGTGGCATTTAATCAGTTTTGAGGCAGCTGGCAAAAGTGAATTATGCTAGAGGGCTGTAGCGGAAACTCCTAGGCAAGGATGGAAAAAGTTGAGAGAGACAGTGAAGAAAGTCTCATAGATTTTGAGTGCTCAGGAATGGGGATTCTGCAAAAGGCCTTCTATTGCTTCACTCTTTATCGGCTCTTTCTGGGAAGAGGGGAGCATAAACAGAAGAATAATTCAAGGGTATCCCAGCCTGTCGTGGAAGGAAGTTATGGATGAGTCCTCAAGGGGCTTGGGATATCCCGAGACTCCACCACTGCTGGAATTAGCTGCCAGGGACCATGTGTGAAAAGTGATGGGAAGCAGTGCTTCTTAGCAGAGAGCTGGGTCACTCCAGCATCCTCAGGACCAGAGAGAGAACAGATACGTGTGCCAGCACCCCTGTTCCCTGAGCAGCGCGGTTTCTCTGCCTGGGGGTAGAGATGTGTATTAACAGGCAGACATTGAGCCCAGAGGAGCAGGTGTGATTTTTCTGCTGAACACGGTGAGCTTTTGGTTTTGGAGTTTTGTGACAGAGAAATTTGAGGGCCCGGCATATTTAGATTAAATGGGCATTAATGAGGCTGAGCTAATGAGGGTGACATCAATAGAAGGAAAACCCAAAGTACTACTTGGGATTTCAAAGGCAAAGAAAAGCCGCCTAACTTGTTACCGCTGTAGAGGGCAGCCATGTGGAGGTGGTGGAATATCTATAGGCCAGTGAGGAGAACTAAGCAGTGGGTTTTGAGTAGTCCAGAGAGATGTGGCGTGGGAATGGGGGAGCCTATGAAGAAGATGCAGCTGAAGCAAAGTGTGGTCAGAAAAGAGCAACATTTTAGCCTAACTGCTGAATCTGACCTGAGTTTTTTCCTTGAGAGTTAGGAGCATAGCCACCATCTTGTAGGACCACATCCCAGAATGACTAGGCTGGATTGAGCTGGGTAAAATGGAATGGAGCAAGCTCTCTCCCAGATTATGTGCTGAAGTCTGGAGGAGCCTTTCCTGAGTCCTGCCACAGACCTTCATCAGACAGACATTCAGGAAAAGATACACCTGCACTTCCGACCTAGGTCTTCACCTCTTTTAAGATCAATCGACTAGTCATCTCTGCTCCCGTAACTTGAAAACCTTCAGCTTTGCTTCAAAAGAATTTATGAATTCCCCTCGCAGTTCAAGTGTATTCACCAGGAGTGGGGAATTCCTTTAGATCTCTGCTGAAGAATGCTTTTAAGTAAGGACACCGCTTGTATCTACAAAGCCAAGTTGCTTGCTCACCAACCAACTCTCTGCTGGAAGCTCTGTCTCCCTCAGAAGATTCGCTGTTCCCTGTTCCCTCTTTGTCTATCTGTAAACCACCCCCATAGCTAGGTAAATATTTTTATTATATCTTATGCCAAGCTTTCTTCCCCCTCCCACAGTAGATGATGCTCATCAGCTCCATTTACCAATGAACGCCCATGTCTGAAAGGAAGCTGGCCTCGCTCCAGATCTCAGCCTCACACATATCCTAGCACAATGTTTTCCAGCTTCAAACTGTAGCAAGAAAACAAACTTCAGTTTGCTCCTCCAGTGTTAATATTGACGCCCACAACTGCTGCAGCGAGATGTTACAGCTGTTCTTTCAGTCAGCTGGTAGGGTGATAGGATAAACAGGGAAGAATTATCCAGCTTGGTGCTTAAATGAGATAGATGTGGTAACCAGGAGAGCTTCTGAGCTTCCCAATGTGGGCACTGTGCAAAGGGAAAGGTTGAATAGGCTGGACACGTCCTCCTTTCTGACAGAGCAGTGCTGGTGCCCCAGGTTGTGGACTCTTGCAGTATTTCCCGGTTACTCCACAGGCAGCCCAGCTCAGCCTGCTCCGAGAGCAGGATTTGGCTTAAAAAAGCCAACTTTTTCCCCGGCCATCCAGTTGCAGACAAAGCATCCCTTTTCTCTTTTCTCTTTGCTGCTTCTTTCTGCCTGGTTTATTGGTAAAAGGCAGCAGAGGCTCTACAGGGAGCAGATCCAGGGCCACAGCCCTGTGAGCCTGGCTGCATGCAGGATGGTGTGGGAAGCGAGTGTGTTCTGCTGTGATATCTCACCGCTCCCCGCGCCGTGTCTCAGCGAGAAAACTTGCTGCTGTTTGTTAGCGATGACTCGAGATGAGCACATGCTTCAGCTTTCCAGCTGAGTACATTTTTTGGTCTTCCAGTGGTATGTGTTGTAAGTATTTAATGTTATCGACAGAAGCCAAAGGTCTCCAACCTCCTCTCTGTCAAATGAGATCAGTGTCCTGCACTGGAGGTCTGAAGGTCTGCAATGCATCTAGCCACTGTCTGCCTGATGGCCCTGCTTTCCTTGATGTGTCGATCCTAAGGTCTGTTTTTTCTTTGTCCCATCTCTCTTCCGTGTCTCAGGATTTTTAAGTATCTCTCATGTGAATGTATCACATCTTGAGCTAATTAGAGCTTAGTTTACATCAGGTTTTTCACAGGCTTGTGGGCAGTCAGTGGCAAGGTGGCTTTATAATGGGCTTGTATCTGCACACCACAGGGTTTGTGCCCTGTTGGTGATCCAGGGAGCTGGCAGCACCTCGTCTGTGAGGCAGGCTCCCATGGGGTTGTCCGTGTCTGTGACCGTCCCCAGTCTCGGTGCACCTGGACATCCTGGTACGTGGTGCTGTGGCTCAGACTGGTGAGGGATGAGACGTCTGGCTCCTACCAAGGTGCTGGGAAGTTAACGCCCAGATTTTCCATCAGCACATTCCCACTGGCACCCTGGAAGGGGGAAATGTGTTGTATTGGGACTGGTGAATTCATGGACCCACTAAAACCTCAGTGGCAGAGACAGGACCTGTGCACCCTGGCAGATTCAGGAGGGAGCTGCTAGTAGCTGTCCTCTTTAGTGTGGTTACTTTGCTTTTATTCACTGCAGGTAAAGGTGAGTGCTGCTCTTGCAATTATGTCTCCTCTCCAGAAGCTTCCCTCTGCTCTGAACCACAGGATTATCCCCATCCTCTATTGTATTTACTGACTTCTTAGCATTTGCCAGATCCAACTGGGAGCTGCCCTGCTGGTAATCAGCATCCCCCCGGATGCACTCCTCCCTGGCTGACTCAGTCGGCTGCTGTGCTTCAGCACAGCCCTTCCGAGCAGAGAAGCAATTGCTCTTTCTGCCCTGTCTGTCTAGAGCTCTCCCCCCTACTCCCCCCCAAGCCCTCCCAGCAGCTGAGTCACTTCCTTCTTTAAATCTGGCCTTAAATCTTTCTTTTCTCTTCACCCTGTGATTCACTCCCATTGTGAAGTGCTTTGCAGAGCTCTGGATGGAAGATGCTGAACAGAGAGATGCTCCCAGGGCGAGATGTCCTCCTTGTCTCAGAGCCACAGCAGTGAGCCCCCTCTCTGAGGGCTGGTCCCTGTGCCGTGCTAAATGGTGTCTCTTAGTATCAGTATTTCTCTTATCTTAGCATTTCTTTCAATGCTACATCTGACGTAGTAATAGGGGCCGACTCCTGCCTGCGGGCGAGCGCATGTAATTTCCTTTGACATTAGCCTGTGCCTGTGAGGGCGCAGCTCTACCCTTTCCCACCCCATTTGATTAGATTCAGTAAGGGAGTCATTACAGGATCTCTGCCACTCCTCCTTGCCCCTCATGGGATTTAAGGAGCACTGCTGTTAGAACTGAGCTGAAATGTGCTCAGAGAAAGGAAAGCTTCAATTTCAGCTCTGTAAGCCTGGAGATATTTTTAGTATAATATCTACACTCCTCGAATTTTTATATTATTGGTTTGGGGTTTTTTTTGTCCTTCACCTGCTTACTTCCTTGGCCTTGGACCCTCTCATATCTTAAGTGCCTTGCCTTTTCACAGTTTGCTGGTGTGGAAGGGAATCACCAACCAACAGGTTAGCTAAAAGATGTCATGAATTAGCCATGTGGCACCATTGAACTTGGCTAGACCTGATCTGGTTATCCCCAAAGCATGGGATAAAATTTGCCAGAGCTTTTAAATCCTGCTTTTGGCTGTGAACTAGGTAGTTAAGCACTAAATCCATTTCGTTACCTTTGCACCTTAGGTGTACGAATACTCAAGTTGCTTAGGCGCTTAGGAAAGGTGCCCCCAGAGTGTGGACAGTAATTGCTAGGACTAGGGACCAGGCCTGGCTCTGTGAAGGTCTGGTGGCTTCCTCAGGACAGTGGTGCCCAGGCCAGGGCCAGCGCTGTAAGAGCACATTACTGAAACATTCAGGATTAAATGAGGAGATTCAGTGGCAGACTATGATGCTTCAGTCATTCTGTAAGGGAAGGTCTGTTTGTGAGGCTGTTGCACTTAGAAATGCGTGCAGCTATATCTATTTGTAGCTCTGGTTTTCTAAAACGTGACTGATGACCATTTTCTGAAGAGCGACAAAAAGTCATTTTCCAGTACAGTAAGTCTGCAAATGAAATTAAATTGCTATTGTAAAGGAGCTTTGTTTCTACAAAGGGGACAGGGGCTGTGGAGTTTGTTGGGAAAAGAAGACCTGGTCCATGGAGAGGATTTTTCATTTTAACTGATTCCTACAGGAAACAGAGCAATCAAGTAAATGAGAATTGCAGTTTCTAACAAATACTGATAATCCTGAGCTCTAATTTTTAATAAAGCTTCAGCAATCACATTCTTCAGCTTCAAAACATGCAACTCTTGAGAACAGCATAACATCTCCTCTGCATACTGATCTTGCATTGCATACTAAGCTTACATTGCATATGTTTGTTTTCTTTTGCTTAGAACGAAGTGATCAGCCAGCAGCTCTCTGTCATTTTCACTCATTGCTATGGACCCTACCCTATTCCAAAGCTCGTTGAAATTAAGCGCAAGCAGACCTCTCGCCTAGGTAAGCATGACTTGAAGGTACTTGTTGGTTCTCCAAGGAGAGCTGGGGGGGGGGGGGGGCACAAGTCAGAGAAAAACCTGAATTTGAAAGGCAGAACTAGAAAAAGGTCCCCAAGCTTAGCCTGACCTGAAACTCCCGCTGAAATCAGGAAGGTTATCAGGTGCATTAGAGTGGGACTGTAAATCTGCAGAGAGCTGTCTGTGTTGCTAATTGGGCTGGGATCTGAACCTGGGGCCCGGAGCCAAATGTCCGTCGGCATCTCAAACAGCCGTGGCTGGCTGCGGGTGATGCGGTGGCGGCACAGCCCTCCCAGCCCTGCTGACAGAGCCCAGGTTGTTTACGTGTGACTGGGAGAAGACCCGAGCGATTTTCCAGGACCCTCTTCCCCTTGGCCCAAAGACTTCCCCACACTGGGAGAGAGGACGTAAGGGTGTAAATGAGCGCAGGGCCCTCCAGCATCCGTTCAGCTGCCGTTGGCTTTGGGTAGCAGAGCTGGGAGGCTGTGCCAGCTCTGCGCGGCGGGGACGTCTGGCTGTCATCTCGGCAAAGGTTGTCACAGACTTGAAAGCTTTGAATTCAACTTCGTCTGAACTCCACGTGGCTGTCTGGGGGGCTTCTGTCTCAGACTGTCCAGAATAGCTTTATGTGCTTTACTCGTTAAAAACAATATTCTTTTGTGCTATTGTCTTCTTTTGTCAAAACAAGAACATGTTCTGTACGTTCATGACCTCTCCCAAACTAAAGTTATTGGCTTTTTTTTTTTTTTTTCCTTCTTTTTGTGATTCTAGATCCCCATTTTCTTAACAACAAAGAGATGTCAGATGTTACATTCCTGGTGGAAGGAAGACCATTTTATGCACATAGAGTGTTGCTATTTACTGCATCACCAAGGTAAAATATAGAGACATTTCTGGGTTTTAACCAAAACAGAATTTTTTTTTCTCCTCTACTGTTAAGATTCTTTGAGGGCTAGTGGCCTATTCTTCAAGTTTTTCCTAAGCAGAACTTTTCAACAGCTTGTTTCTGATTGATCTGCAGGATGTACTCCCATCACTAGATTCCCACCCAGTAAATGATCCATGCTTCTGGCTGTGCATCTGACTTCATTCCACTGAGGCACATTTGCATGGAGCTCATTGTTGCATCCAGCTCTTAATTGTGGAGGAGTCATAATATTTTGATTTTTAATAATCATTTATGCCATCAGTGGCTAAGTCCTGCCTTGCACCAGTGTAGGCAGACTCCAGGAAAAACAAACTGCTATCACACAATTCATTGACAACACTTGATATTTTAAAAATAAAATTAAATAACTACAACATGAATCATACTGTATCCAGAGGCAGTATTTGTAGTCTGTTCCCTATGCTCAGAAGGCTGTAAGTAAGATTGGGTTGAACTGGGTAACCCAAAGTTGCTCACAAACCCTACCTGTTTCCAGCTTTATAATTAAAGGTGTGCTTTTAAGCAAATTCAGCTGACCCTCCATAAGAGCTTATTTCAAGATGTGGCAAGGACAAGCCACTGAGTTTGGGTAATCTGAGCAATGTGGCAATTGATGCTAGATGTGCTGACAACCCACAGCACAGGGTAAAGAGGTTTGCATAAAGCAACTGCAGTATCTGACCCTGCCTTCAGCTGAGAAATGGGTGTTTTGGTTTAGAGCTTATTGGTAGAGGTACAAGCATGTTATAAACTCCAGCTTTAAACCTAGTAAATTGTGTTCACAATAGCGTTTATCACTAGTAAAGCAAATCAGTTGTTATCCATATTTTATTTAACAAGATGCCAGTCATGATATGGAAAAGGTTACTACCCAGAAAATGCTGGTCTTGATAAATCAAGCTTTGCACTACTGCTAGAAGGTCAGATGAATTATCAAAAAGAAGAAGCACAAGGGCAGATGTTTCTGGCTGCGCATTTCCCATTTTCACCTTCTGATCAAATGAGAATATCTGGTTTTGAGTAATAGATTGCTACATATATATACATGTCTCATAAATCTGCAATTATTAACTTAAAATGTGGGTTTTTTTCCTGAAACCTGTGTCTGAATTTTAGGGTTTGATAATCAGAGAAGAGCAACTTAACCCTTTTCCTCTCCTGCCTCTTCTTACACAATTGTATAGAGCCTGCATAGAAGCCTTAAAAGTCTTAGTGTATTAACTTTAATATTTTGTTCCAAAACATTTTTTAAAGCAGCATAATGGACATAGGCCAATATTTATTTCCATCAAAAAAGGTGTTTTTAAATATTGTAAGTCTTCCTAAAAGATGGTGTTGCCTTCAAGAATTTTTTTTTTTTGTTTTGTAATCTGCATCATTACAGAATCTTAATTTCCTATATACATTTTATTCTATTGTGCTTGTATTTTTCAAAAAATTTCAAATTTAAATCTTCTAAAAGAGCGGCTTCTTCCTTTTAGTTTGAAATTTATTTTATGTCGGCATCTAAATCTTCATGCTTTTTGGTGACCAGTACGTTCATTAGAGTGTACTGTTTTTACAAGAGCCGTGCTGTCCTTCCACTTTGCCATACTTTTTCAGAGATAATTGAGCTGGTATTTCAATCTCACTCCTTTTTATCTAGGTTTAAAGCATTGCTGTCTAGCAAGCCCTCATCCGATAGTACTTGTATTGAGATCAACTATGTGAAGTACCCCATCTTTCAGGTAAAGTCAGTTCTCACATTGAATTTGAATGGAACATGTAATAGGAACACCATACATGCCCTGTCCAAATTAGTACATATGTATTTGATAAACATGTAGCTAGAGTAGTGGTTTCATCAGCAGAGGCTTCATCTCCATTCACACACTAAGTTGCAGAGTGCTATTGATGGACCAGATACAGTAGCATGCATTTCCCTTATGTGGGCTATGCAGACAAAGCAGTGCATGTCAAGGTTGATTCTTTTTTCTCTTGTTGGCTCTGTCTGTATTTAATGGACAGGCTTGGAAGAGACATGATTCATTCCTTTCCATAGCAGTATTGTTCAGTCAGTTTTTTGCCATGAAAATACAGAGCTTGCCTTCTGTATCTTTAGCATGTACACGTATATGCTTCCCTTTATTTGAATCAGAGCTCAGACAGTTCCATGTATCGACTGTTACTGACCACTGCAGATAATTCCCAGCTGCCTACAATAACTTTAGGCTTGCTGGAAGCTCACTGCAGAGGGACCTTCGCTGGCTTGTATTACAGTACAAAGCCTCCCCCACTTTTTCCTCATCATCCATGCATGCCCACACGCAGCTGGGTGAAGGTGTGGGTGCCATTGCCAGGGAAGGAATAAGGGAATAGCCATTACATAAGCTGTATTTTCCCGAATCAGTAAGGTACTGAACATACTGGGGAAATACCCTGCAAATTCAGAATGAATTAATCAGCTTCTTGCAAACTGTTTGTAACTCACCAGAAAGTCCAGACAATGTGGCTGGTGAGGGTTGAGATGTTAGACTACCTGTGAGGAGGAAATACTGAGCTGTGCAGAGGGAGAGAGTAAGCAAATATATCTTGAAATCAGGAAGTTTGGGCTGGTTTTATCTACAAATACTTGGTGGTGTTGGAGAGCCTTGGGTATTGCTTGCAATCTTTACATCACTCTCTGTTCCCTGATGTCCTGGATTGCTTTTAATAAACACTGCCTTTGTTTTATTACAGCTGGTTATGCAGTATCTTTATTACGGAGGTGCAGAGTCACTCCTGATTAAAAATAATGAAATTATGGAGGTAAGAGACATTTACCTTAATTGCAGTGGCAGCAATGCTAAATGATCTGGGTACCATTCACCCAAGGGCATGTGGCCATTGGGCAAGAAATGAGCACTCCCGTAAGAGCCAGCACTGCTTCATGCAGAGTGCCCAGGCTGTCCGCAGTCCTGCGGGAGACACTCAGCCTCCTCCTCTGCCGGTCGCCCATTGTGGTAACTTTTGCCAGTACAAAGTTGACTGTCAGAGAAGAAAGAGCAGAAAAATTGTGATCAAGGAAAAAAAGTATCAGAAATAAAAATACCTAGTTAGATGCTTTGAGAAGCTCTGTCATGGAAATTGCAAAGCTGATGTTACCAAAATCTGGAAGCAGCTCCTGGCAGCATAGTATGCCATCCTCTCTTTCTCTCTCTCTCAGCTTGATAGGTGAGGTGCTGTGCTCCAGCTGGGCCAGTCAGATTCTCTCTGCCACACTCTTACTTTTGGTTTAATAGCTCAGGCTTACACGTTCAGATCTATCTCAGCAGCATAAAAGCATCCAATTCGGTTCCTTATTTGGGAGAATTCTTGGGCATGTACCTGGCTTTAACCATGCCCAAGAATTCCCACTGGAGTCAGAGTTCAGTTCAATTTCAAGCCTGTGACTGTAAGATTTTCTGAATAAAACCTTAAGCTGCTCCCTGAGATACAGAGACTTCTTTGCCCCTTTCTTGCTGCATGTAAAACATCCAGTGCTGTTGTGACTGTTTGCAAAAGCCAAACCGAGCCAACTGGAGCTAAGACTTCAGTGTAGCCACACACCCATAACCTGTATGGATCATCTTCTTCCCATTACTGTGTTCTGTCATTGCCAGTTATGATCAGTCTAATGACTCCAGCTAAACAGAACTAAAAGATATTTGAACAAATTCTTGATAGTCATTCAGGGAGTTTTCCTGTTGACAAGCAGTAAGTTATGGTAGATGAAAAGAATACAGGACAGTAAATACTAAACTCAGAGCTACTTAAACAGCTGGTAATCATCAGTGTACAGATTATAGTCTGCCACTGTGATGTTTTATTGTTGCCTACATTAGTTAGTCTGTCCCCATGACAATTCTGTCTGGGGCACCCCTGCAAGGCTTAGCTTCTACTGAAGTACTGCTGACCAGAAACTGGGAGCAACTCTTCTCTGGGGTACAAATGGCCAGGGTGAATCAATTCTGATGGGTACGTCTGTACCAACCCTGCTGGCAGCCAGAGGATGGAACTGGTCAGAAATTAAATTATCCCTCTCCAGCACAGGTGGTAGATTTCTACCTCAGTATACCCACACTGAGTTTCTGAGCTGTATAGGAAAAGGTCACTGATCTCTATTTCACCTGTAGTTTTGAAAGAAGCTCCTGAACTTCTAACCCTTTCTGAAATAAGGAGTCTTAGACTAGGCAGTGCAACAGCTTTATAGAGCTGTGTGTGTTATCACCTAGGATGTTAAAAAACTTGTGCTGCAGCTCAGCTGGCTGCTTGCTCTACTTTTGTGTCATCTTAAAACTTCTGTGACTCAAGAATGTATGACTGATTGATTGATTTGTTGATAACAGATCTGGTCACAGTTCCTCAGTTTAAAGTAATTACAAATCAGCACGTGATGCTTGAGCCACAGAGGCAGCTGGAATAGGATTTGGCTTTATCTTTCAAAACTGCATTTAGCAACTTGCCTTATTACAAATATGATAACAAGAAGCACCAGAAATACTCCACAGAAATCTTTGCTGCAATTCATAATTGGGGCCAGCTGGCTGCTATCACATCAGCACTGCAGATTTCCAGCACTTGGATTTATTTATGGGATTAAAGCAGAGCTTGAGCGGACTGCATAGGAGAAATCAGAATAATTTCGTAGAAGTTTCAGGGTTTTGTGCCCAGTGCTCCTACCTAGTGGCATGAGAGTGCTTTTGGGATTCACAGGATAGCTTTTTGTCACGCAGTCATAGATGATAATGGACATATAAATACCTAAACACCTGAACAGCTTGGCCTAAGATGCCTGGTGGGGTTAGAGCAAGCTATCAAGCAATGAAGAACCCCAACCTGCTTCCTAAGCCAGAGCAGACAGCCAGAGGGAATGACCTAACATGGAAAGAAAGAAATAAAATTCCTTTTTCCTGCTGTAAAAGGACAGAAAGGGGGCAACAACGGAAATCTTAGCACTACTGAAATCAGTTGGAGACCTGAAAATTCAAGACATTTTCACCCCACAGATTTCAGGTTATGCCCACGATATACAGTGGCACGTGGAGATCCCAAGGCAGTGTCAGTCCAGGTAGTCTATCCGCAGGGCGGGTGCAGGGCCAGGGAGGGAGGTCAGCTGGAGTTCTGGTGGCAGGAGAGCTGTGGTAGTGCAGCCGTACAGACACATGACACCAACATGAGTGTTAACTAGGCAGTGCCTTGTACCAGGCTAGTTCCCACCTTTGCATCCCACTCCTTAGAGTAACATTGAACCAGACAGTGTTTCAGTTCCCATGGCCTGGACATGACCTTACTGCTGCTCACGTGCTGGAGCAAGGAGCATATGGAGATCTGACTCCATTTCCCTGAGCCTGCTGAAGTGACAAATTTGAGGTTTATTGCCTCTCTAGGTTTTTAAGACTGTTCAGGGTGGTCATCATCATCTGGTTTGAATTCCTCTATACTCTTGGTCCTGGCCCTTCTGCTGACATCCCCACATCCAACCCAGGTGCTCTGTTCCAGCCAGAGCCTGGGGAACGGTTGAACCAGAACCATTTTTTTCCTGGAATGTAATTGCAGATCCCTCCTTGCAGAGTCATATTTGCAAAGTGACCAAAGACTCTCCAAGCTCCCATTTCCTTTTTCTCTCTCACCTCCCCCCCCCCCC